TAATCTGGGTGTTAAGGTTGATTATCGGCTTAATTTACATTTATAAGTCCATAATGAAACCCAGCAAGCTCTTGTCAGCAGGGAAATCTTAACAAGGTGAAGTCTTTTTGCTTAAGAACTATATGGAGAAGCATTTATAACTTCTGGTTTACACTATTGCCAGGGTTTTTGCTGGCTCAAACCGAGGCAGAGGTGGTACCATCCTGACCGTGCGCCAGCACATGCACACTCACTATACAGGTGCTGGCCAGTAAATTAGAATATCATCAAAAGGTTGAAAATATTTCAGTAATTCCATTCAAAACGTGAAACTTGTACATTATATTCATGCAATGCACACAGACCAATGTATTTCCAATGTTCATTACATTTAAATTTGATATTCATAAGTGACAACTAATGAAAACTCCAAATTTGGTATCTCAAAAAATTAGAATATTCTGAAAAGGCTGAATATAGAAGACACCTGCTGCCACTCTAATCAGCTGATTTACTCAAAACACCTGCAAAGGCCTTTAAAAGGTCCCTCAGTCTTGTTTTGAAGGCACCACAATCATGGGGAAGACTTCTGACTTAACAGCTGTCCAAAAGACAATCATTGACACCTTGCACAAGGAGGGCAAGACACAAAAGGTGATTGCTAAAGAAGCTGGCTGTTCGCAGAGCTCTGTGTCCAAGCACATTAACAGACAGGCGAAGGGACGGAAAAAATGTGGTAGAAAAAAGTGTACAAGCTCTAGGGATAACCGCACCCTGCAGAGAATTGTGACGACAAACCCATTCAAAAATGTGGGGGAGATCCACAAAGAGTGGACTGCAGCTGGAGTCAGCGCTTCAAGAACCACCACGAGGAGACTCATGAAAGACATGGGATTCAGGTGTCGCATTCCGTGTGTCAAGCCACTCTTGAACAAGAAACAGCGCAAGAAGCGTCTCGCCTGGGCCAAGGACAAAAAGGACTGGACTGATGCTGAGTGGTCCAAAGTTATGTTTTCTGATGAAAGCAAGTTCTGCATTTCCTTTGGAAATCAAGGACCCAGAGTCTGGAGGAAGAGCGGAGAAGCACAGAATCCACGTTGCATGAGGTCCAGTGTAAAGTTTCCACCGTCAGTGATGGTGTGGGGTGCCATGTCATCTGCCGGTGTTGGCCCACTCTGTTTCCTGAGGTCCAGGGTCAATGCAGCCGTCTACCAGGAAGTTTTAGAGCACTTCATGCTTCCTGCTGCTGACCAACTTTATGGGGATGCAGACTTCACCTTTCAACAGGACTTGGCACCTGCACACAGTGCCAAAACCACCAGCACCTGGTTCAAGGACCATGGTATCCCTGTCCTTGATTGGCCCGCAAACTCGCCTGACCTTAACCCCATAGAAAATCTATGGGGTATTGTGAAGCGGAGGATGCAATACGCTAGACCCAACAATGCAGAGGAGCTGAAGACGACTATCAGAGCAACCTGGGCTCTCATAACACCTGAGCAGTGCCACAGACTGATCGAGTCCATGCCACGCCGCATTACTGCAGTTATTGAGGCAAAAGGAGCCCCGACTAAGTATTGAGTGCTATACATGCACATTCTTTTCATGTTCATTCTTTTCAGTTGGCCAACATTAGAGAAACAAACATTTTTTCATTGGCCTTTAGAATATTCTAATTTTCTGAGATACCAGATTTGATGTTTTCATTGGTTGTCACCTATAAATATCAAAATTAAACGTAATAAACATCGGAAATACATTGGTCTGTGTGCATTGCATGAATATAATGTACAAGTTTCACGTTTTGAATGGAATTACTGAAATATTTTCAACCTTTTGATGATATTCTAATTTACTGGCCAGCACCTGTACATTCAACTGCTTCACTTTTTCAAAGGCTAAATATTTTTATAGTAAAATGTTTTTAAACATGTGACCTACATTTCAGTAACATGTTAGGTTTGTATTAATAACACTCATCTTAGTCACAATAACACATAAATGTATGCAGTAAAATATAATGTATTTCATTAACATGCATTTGTGTTGGAAATGCTAATAACATGTCATTTCTGCTGCTAACAGTGTAACGGTGGCATGTCTGTTATGTACGGGTTGGCAATAATCCAGTTTAAATTATGTTCAAAGATAGAAGCGTTTGTGAATTAGATACCAAACGGCTTGCCGTAGCCTTGTAGCAGTAATGTGACCCGTATCTGCAGCGGTTCTGGTCCGTAGCGCTGCAGGATGCAGAACAAACAGGATGGTGGGGACTTTTCATCAGCATGTACAGTTGAGTCTTTCTCAGTTTTACATCATCATATATTTTTCTGTGCGCCACTTGATCGTGAGACTGCTACCGTTAGCTTTAGCATTAGCCAATCTGCGTGTAGCTGCACTTTTCATCCCAAACTTTGGACCGGTTCTGCCTTTGTGCCTTTGCTGGTTCCTTTATTTTCCTCCACTGCATCCAGATTTCCACACTGTTCACCAGTAAAAAGCATTTTTCTTACTTTTGCTCAATAAAGTTCTGGAGAGAATAGTAATTCAAAGATGTTGCACCAGTGGTACGTTTAAAAAATAGACTCACACGCACCGACAGTGTTTTACGTCGCGCTGTACAGCCCTGCTCTGATGTGGAAGAGCCTGGGGGGAAATCAGGACGTCAATAGCACCAACCACAGATACGTACCAACTAGCGAGAAAAGCAATGTTTGATCTTTTTCTGCAGCGGTTTTAGTGCTTTTCGGCGCACTGCTGCTGATACAGCGCCCCTACAGTGGTGCAACGCTGCAACTGCAGTTAAAATAACATCCTTGTAGCTGGGGGGGCAGAGTGAAATCAGGCTGGGGTGGCCGCCACGCAAATCTGAACGCGGGAACAACCCTGACTGTTGCATTAGTCTTTAATCATAGGTGTATTTCTAGGTTGTAGCTTGTTCAGAAAGCTGCAGCCCGTTTTTTTTACTCACACTTGTAGATTTGTTCACATCACTCCAGTTCTGGCTCCCGGTTAGGTTCTGTGTGCCATTTGAGCTTCTCATGGATTATGTTCCATCACGTGGACTGAGGTTGGCTGACTGAATGTCCCTAGGGCAAGGCTACAGAGAAGAGGTTTTAGGTGGCGGCGCCTTCTCTTCGGAATATGTGACCAGTCACCATTAAGCTTGGTTTATGCTTGACGCATTCACTTTCCGCGCGGTGATGCGGCTCGCGGCTGGAACGCGCTTCACAACTCGCAGCGTTTATGGTTCATGCGGCTTGTCTCTGCGGAGAGCCAATATTCTCCCAAACTGTAGGGGGCAGCATGGAGCTCTACGGCATGCATCCAACACTACACCATAGTAGAAGTAGAAATTACTGTTTACAACATGGTATTTCAGCATTTTTAACAGCGTCCTCGTCTTTTCCGACAGTGCGAGCTATTTCTCTCCAAGAATTATTAACAACATGTTGATCACGGTGATCTCTGAGAGCTGCATCATACAAATGTCTGTATTTACGAACCTCTGCCTTGCCGGTCCGCCATGTTTTTCCGCGTCCGACCGTCCGCGTGGTTAGAAATTTTCCGAGGTGCGCGTTGCGGAAATCTTGGGCCGTGCGGAGACGCGGTGGAGGGGCGTGGTTGTTAACATGACGCAACTTTTCCGCGCGGACCTCGCGGACGCGTCAGGCATAAACCAACCTTTAGGCAGGCATCATTTGTCATTTTTAAGTTACTGAAAACTTATTTTTACTCCAAAGCTTTTAACACCTTGGACTGATGGGGTGGTCCTGTTTTTATGACTTTTTGTGTGTGATTTTATTTTTGTGCATATTTTATGTTTTTAATTGACTTTTGTCATTTTATTGTATTTTTCATGTTTTATGTTGAGCACTTAAGGGCAACGTGTTGCATTTAAAGTGCTATACAAATAAACTTGATTGATTGATAGATAATGAATCAGTGTAGCTACTAGCTAACTTAGCTAACCCAAAAAGCTACGACGGGCTCCAGGTTAGGCCACACGCACGGCTGCCTGGCTTCTGTTCGAGGCTGTAGTCATGCTGGTCGCCTGCGGAGATCTAATATGGACCGTGACTGTTACATTACAGGCACAGCCTCAGAGCTCTGCGATCGTAGCCGGGCGCCGTGGCCTTTCACATCAGCTCATGCTCCACGGTCAGAGATCAGCGGAACATTATCTACTTACTAACTCAAAGCTAACAGGTTTTCTGGGCATTTATAGCAAGAAAAAGAGGAGAGCAACTCCAAAATGTAGGCACCTCCTAGGGTAATCTGACCGAGGATAGCAGGCTTCACTGGTCCACCGCGGTCAAAGATCCGTGAGTCCACTCTGGGAGCGTCGACACAGAGCCGGGACCCATGCCGACACTCCCAGAGCCAGCAGTGTCAACATCGGCGGACTTGGGGATCTCTCACCACAGCGAAGCCCGATAGCCTCCGCTATTCTCGACCAGATACGTAGCTCTAGTTCAATCCAATCTATTTATAAAGCGCCAAATCAGAACCAGTCGTCTCAAGGACCTTCACTCAGTAAAACTTTCCAATACAGGTCAGGTCATTAAGCCAATCAGTAAAAAGTTTCCTATATAAGGAACCCAGCAGGTTGCACCGAGTCACTGACTCGTATCAGGTGTGCCCAACCCTGGTCCTCCAGATCCCCTGTCCAGCATGTCTTAGAAGTTTCCCTGTTTCAGCACACCTGGTTTGTGTCAGCGGTGATTAGCGGTGTTCTGCAGAGCCTGAGTAGCTGTTGGAACGGTGGTTCTGTCACTGAATCAGCAGGGTCTCGAGGACCAGGGTTGGGCACACCAGCTTTACTGCAATCCTCATACTAAGCAAGCATGTAGCGACAGTGGAGAGGAACAGGAAGAAACCTCCAGAGGATCCTGGATCAGTGTAAGCATGGCAGTATGACATGGGACTGATGAAGACAGCTGTAGAGGTCCAACAGGATCCTGGTTTTGTCCTCTCTAGTGATGACAGCTCTTAAGTAACCTTTCCTTGCTTCCTTCCAGATGTTCTGGGTCAAATGGAGACCACCCCTAGCCTGACCCCCAGCAGCGAGCTCATCAGCGCCACCCCTAACTCTGTGGCTAGCCCTGGTGTTGCCGTTGGAGACCAGCTGAACTTAGACCTTAGCTCCTTGTTCTCTACTGTGCCCGGGGCTTCTGCACCCACTGGGGTGGGGATCCCCGTCACTGGGAGCGGCTCCTTTACCATGGACCTGTCTATGGTCAGCTCGGGTATTCTCACCATTGACCCCTCCTCCTCAGTGGGAACCACACTTGTTACCAGCACCAACCCAACACTGGCCAAGGCCTTGGACCCCCTCATCATGGCAGCCGGTGCCGACATGGTCCATCAGCATGGCCTAGAAGGAAAAGCAGGAGATGTTCTACCCCCTCAAGGCACAATTAACCTGAGTGATGTACAGACTGTTTCTCCAGGGGCCTTGGGGAACCTCACAGCTCTGACGCCGCAGAGTGCTGCTGCCTCGGTGGATCCTGCTGTGCCGCACCCACACAGTCCCTCCAGCGGCCTAAACGTGGGGTCCCCAGCCTCGCTGGCTGTGACTCCTGCTGCTGAGCTGCTGCGAT